ATACTTCACCTTAAAGAACTAGAAAAACAAGAACAATCCAAACCCAAAGTTAGCAAATGGAGAGAAATCATTAAAATCAGACCAGAACTTAATGAAATTGAAACCCCAAAAATGATACAAAAGATCAATGAATCAAAAAGTTGTTTTTTGGAAAAGATAAATAAAATTGACTAACCATTAGCACAGCTAACTAAAAAAAGAAGAGAAAGATCCAAATAACAAAAATCAGAAATGAAAAAGGTGATATTACAACTGATATATCTGAAATACAAGGAATCATTCGAGACTACTACAAATAACTATATGCCAAAAATTTGAAAATATGGAGGAAATGGATAAATTTCTAGACACACACAAGCTACCCAAACTGAGCCAAGAAGATGTAGAAAATCTGAACAGACCCATAACAGCTTCAATCTCTTTTATTGTTATCAGAAGGCTCCCAGCAAAGAAAAGCCCAGGACCAGATGGATTCACAGCAGAATTCTACCAAACATTCAAAGAGGAATCGACACCAATTCTCTACAAACTATTCCAAAGGATTGGAACAGAGGCAATTTTCCCAAACTCATTCTATGAAGCAAACATCACCCTGATACCAAAACCAGGTAAAGATACAACTAAAAATGAATACTAGTGAACAGAATACAGCAACACATACATAAAATTATACACCATGATCAAGAGGAATTCATCCCAGGGATGCAAAGTTGGTTCAATATATGCAAATCAATAAATGTGCTACACTGTATCAATAAAATCAAACACAAGGACCATATGATCATCTCTATAGATGCTGAAAAAGCATTTGATAAAATTCAACATTCATTCATGACAAAGACTCTCTATAAGTTAGGTATAGATGGAAAGTATCTCAACATAATTAAAGTCATATATGATAAACCCACTGCCAATATCATCCTGAATGGATGTTCCTTAAGAACAGGCACTAGACAAGGATGCCCACTCTCACCACTCCTATTCAACATAGTGTTGGAAGTACTAGCCAGAGCAATCAGAGAAGAGAAGGAAATAAAGGGCATTCAGATTGGAAAAGATGAAGTCAAACTGTCCCTCTTTGCAGATGACATGATCCTATATATCCAACAGACTAAAGCCTCTACAAAAAAAACTCTTGGAGTTGATAAATGATTTCAGCAAAGTTGCAGGACACAAAATTAACACACAAAAAATCAGTAGCATTTCTATTTTCCAATAGTGAACATGCAGAAAGAGAAATCAAGATACCTTGTCCATTTACAATAGCCACCAAAAAAATAAAATACTTAGGAATAGAGTTAACCAAGGATGTGAAAAATCTCTATAATGAGAACCACAAACCACCGCTGAGAGAAATTAAAGAGGACACAAGATGGAAAGATTTCCCATGGTCTTGGATTGGAAGAATGAACACTGTGAAAATGTCCATACTACCCAAAGTTATTTACAAATTCAATGCAATCCCCATCAAAATTCCAATGACATTTTTCTCAGAAATGGAAAAAACTATCCAGACATTTATATGGAATAACAAAAGACCACGCATAGCCAAAGCAATTATGAGCAAAAAAATAAAGCTGGAGGCATAACACTACCTGACTTTGAACTATACTACAAAACTATAATAACCAAAACAGCATGGTACTGGCAAAAAATAGACACACTGATCAATGGAACAGAATAGAGAATCCAGAAATCAACCCACACACCTACAGCCATCTGATCTTTGACAAAGGGACCAAGCCTATACAGTGGGGAAGAGACTGCCTCTTCAGCAAATGGTGCTGGGATAACTGGATATCAATATTCAGGAGAATGAAACTAGACCCATACCTATCACCATATACTAAAATCAACTCAAAATGGATTAAAGAATTAAATATACACCTAAAACAATAAAACTTCTTAAAGAAAACATAGGAGAGACACTTCAGGAAGTAGGACTGGACACAGACTTCATGAATACGACCCCCAAAGCATGGGCAACCAAAAGAAAAATAAACAAATGGGATTATATCAAACTAAAAAGCTTCTGCACAGCAAAGGAAGTAATTAACAGAGTTAAAAGACAACCAACAGAGTGGGAGAAAATAATTGCAAAATATAAATCAAAGGTTTAATATCCAGAGTATACAAGGACCTGAAACAACTTTACAACAAAAACCAAGTAACCCAATAAAAAATGGACAAAAGAGCTAAATAGGCATATCTCAAAGGAAGATGTACGAATGGCCAACAGACACATGAAAAAATGCTCAACATCACTCAGCATTCGGGAAATGCAAATCAAAACCACATTGAGATACCATCTCACCCCATTTAGGAAGGCTAATATCCAAAAGACTGTGAATGATTAATGCTGGTGAGGTTGTGGAGAAAAAGGAACTCTCATACATTGTTGGTGGGACTGCAAAATGGTGCAGCCAAAATGATATGGAAGTTCCTCAAACAATTGCATATAGATCTACCGTATGACCCAGCTATCCCACTGCTGGGAATATACCCAGAGGAATGGAAATCATCAAGTCAAAGGTACACCTATTCTCCAATGTTCATTGCAGCATTCTTTACAATAGCTAAGAGTTGGAACCAGTCCAAATGTCCATCATCAGATGAGTGGATACGGAAAATGTGGTACATCTACACAATGGAATACTACTCTGCTATAAAAAAGAATGAAATACTGCCATTTGCAACAACATGGATGGACCTAGAGAGAATTATTTTAATTGAAACGAGTCAGGCACAGAAAGAATATCACATGTTCTCGCTTATTTGTGGAAGCTAAGAATAAATAAATAAATAAATACACAAATAAACTGTGGGGGCAGGGAAGAAGACATAACAATTATAATTCCTTGAAGTTGATACGACAAGGGAACAGATATGAGGTTGTTGTGAGGGAGTGGGGGAGAGGGTAGATGGAGGGAGGTTTCGGTAATTGGCCACAATAATCAACCACATTGTATGTTGACAAAATAAACTTAAAAAACAAGAAAAAAAATAATAAATAAATAAAATTGGTTTTACTTCCCTAAACCAATTGAAGGTATGGAACTACATTGTCTAATAAAGTAGCCACTAGCCACATACAGCTATTTGCACCTGAAATGTGGGTAGTCTAAATTGAGATGTGCAGTAAGTATAAAATAAATACCAAATTTCAAAGACTTAATATAAAAATAAAAAGGAAACTACCTCATTCATAATTTTTTACATCAGTTACATGTTGGAATAGTATTTTGGATATGCCAAGTTAAATAAAATGTAATATTAAAATTAATTTTATTGTTTCTTTTTGCTTTTTTAAACCATGACTACTAGAATATTTAAAATTACACATGTGGCCCACATTTGTTTCTTGCACTACATACCTAATGGTCAGCACTAATATAGAATACCGTCTCTGAATTCTAATTAGTGGTGAGAAAAGTTGTCTTGGATTTAAAGACCCACCTCCAGTAATTTACAAAGTCTACAGTCTATTGAGTTATGTCTCCAGGTATGATTATAAATACTCATAAAGTAGACACATGAAAATTTATTGAGATATTTTTGAGCCCAATATTTTAAATGCTACTAAAGAATATAAATAATCCCCAATGAAGTGCATAACTGACAAGTAGAGATTAGCACAATAATATAGAAATGTGAGTGGTGGGTGGTCAGCAAGGCTACTCATTAGCTCTCGCATAACATCATAATTCAACTTTGAGCTTTGGCAAAAATTACAAATTACCATATGTCCTCGATCTTCAGGTCTCTTAAATACAAAATTCTTATATGTGAAGAGCCTTGCCTAGCAAATAGAAGGTATTCACCAGAATGTATTCGAGAGTTAGGAAAGGGTCAACAGATAGGCAAGTACATTATCTCTGTTGATTAACAAAAGGAATTACAAGGTTATAAACTAACAATGACAGTTTTATCTCAATTGATTAAAAAAAGTAAGGTAAGTAATTCTTTTCATATACAGGCTTTTCTCTTTAGTTTCAGAAAATCTTTGAAAACTCCTTCCCTTGTTTCCCAGTGGCACTAGCTGAAAAGTGGAAAAAATCATCAAGATTAATTTAACCATTTTCTTTTTATCAATATCTGTATTCATGGATTTTTGAAAACATTAAAATATTTATAATTAGAAAAAAATTATAATTAGTAAAAATATTCCTAGTTCAAATTACCGAGTTCTTGTTTTTATTTTCATGTTCTACAAAGAGTACCATGACTTTCAAGAATTCTGTCACCAGAAAAAGGATTAAAAACATGTGTAGCAGGTTAGATTTAGTGTAGTAGCAGGTTAGATTTAGTGTAGTAACAGGTTAGATTTAGTGTCATTCTTTATCTAGGAAAAGGCGATACCTGAGAAGGCATTCATTTTACTTGGATTGTTCAGAGTAAGAATGCCAATGCCATTGTCTTCCTTCTGAAGGTCAATGGATCCACCAGAAAACTGCTGAAGTTTTTTCTTTACTTCTCCCTCACTGAAGCCATGCAATGTATTATAAATTGACAATCCCGTTGGATGTAGCAATCTTGTCCTCATAGAGAGAGATGGTGTCTTCAAAAGGCTTGTTGCCATTTCTGGAAAGAAGAGGTAAGTATGCAATTGTCCATATTAACAGACACTCACTTTTCTAATGTTATATACTAATAGGCTGTAGTACTTTTAGGAGATCATCAGTATGAAATTTCTTTTTTCCCCTCTTTCTCAAACCAAATAATTCACAAAGCATGTCATTTTGGTATATCATTGAGAAACAATGACATGGTAACAGTACCTTTATTGGGATCCACTATACTAGGAAGGTTTAGAAAAAAAGGTTGCTGTTCTGTATTTAGTACCATTTCCTGCCTCCAGATAGTCTTTTTCATCACAGTACTTCTTTGAATCCCAATCCTTAACTTTTTATAAGTCTAGGAATAAATTTAGTCCAGATGTCCCCTTGGAAACAATCTCTATGCAGAAATAGTACAAAAGTAATCCCACTCTCTAACAGAAATTTTATTCTTATCATTACCCTTCCCATCTGTGATGCTTCCATCCAAAAAGCTGGAAGGAGTTCTGAGGAAAATAGGGAAGAAAACAGAAATGTGCATGTGGTTTTTGTGCTCTCCAGACTTCTGTCACTCTTTTCTTCTTATTTTATATATAGATCCTGGGTAATCTCATCTTTGCCCATAGGCTTTTTTTTTTTAAATCTATATATACATTTTTGTTGATATAAAACTTTCATTCAGAAAGTATACAAAATCTAAGTTACAGCTCAATGAATTTTCACAACGTGAATAGATTCTAGTAAATGGCATTCACATCAAGAAACAGAACATAATCTGAACCTCAGAAGGTCCCTTGTGCCACCCTTTGGTCATGACCCCTCAAATAAGGATAATGACTATCTTGACTTCTAACACCCAAGATTAGTTTGCCCAGTTTTGAACTTTACATAAATTGAATAATATGTATTCTTTTGTGTCTGGTTTCAAACTTCATGTTTTTGACAGCCATTACCATTATTATGTATAATTACAAAGTCTAAATAGTTCATTATTCACATTGATATATTCTATTATATGAATATACCACTGTTGCTTTGTGTTGTTTCACCCCCCACGGATTTGCCACTCCACCTCCCCTGGGTGATGGAGACGCAAAGGATTACTCAAAGCCCATCTCTTCTGAGCAGTGAAAAGCTCTGAAGGGGTTAACTTCCCTGGGACCACTCCAGCAAGAGGCAACCCTTTCTTGAGAAATTAACCACGAATTGGGGTTCTCTTCCTGCATTTATTTTCCAGAACAGGAAGTTACAGGAAGAGAACATAGGTGGGGTTATAGTTTAACAATATAGGCTGGTAACTTTCAGTGAAACAAGCCAGATGACATTCCAGTAAGGCTATCAACAAAAGCCTGATCTTGGCAAACATTTCTTCTCCCCCTACAGTTTTCCAGCAACTTAGATAAAAATCAGTAACTAATCTGCCTTTGAGCCAGCAACCTTGCTGTGCCACAATTCTTATCTTGCAACAAAGACTCAATAGCCTGGGGAAAATTTCCAGTCCTTGCAAGGTCAATATTTGAAACTGCAAGGCTTTGGAAAACCAGGCCCTGTGAAGTACATATGCTTTATAGTATATTCCACATACCACAATTTATCTATTCTAATGTTAATAGATATTTGGGTTGTTTCCAATTTGAGGTATTACAAATAGAGTTGCTGTAAACACTTTATCATGTGTCTTTTGGTCAACATGTATGTATTTCTAATGGGTATATATTTAAGAATTTTATTGGATTGGTGTACTGTGACCCAGCTTTTAACAATCATTGTTAAACAATGAAGAATTTTGCAAGTTGATATTTTAAACCCTTGGTAGTTTGAAACTGACCATGAGAACAATAACAACAACAATAACAACGACAGAAAAAAAAAAAAAAGAAACTGACCATGGTAGGAATATCAGCAAACACTGCATTACTCTCTCTCTCTCTCTCTCTCTCTCACACACACACACACACACACACACACACACAGCCAGTTTACCGGTACAATACCAGTCATATGTATGCCTTTGTTCATTTGTTCAACTTGAGAAGATACTGCCAAAGACTTTTGCAAAATGGTGTACCAATGTATATTCCCACAGGTAGTGAATGCTCCAGTTGCTCCACAACCTGGTTATCACCTGCTATGTCCCCCCCCCCCTTTTCATTTTAGGCATTCTAGTGGCACTGTGGTTTCATTTTGTATTTCTATGATGTCTAATGAAAGTAAAATTTTCTTATGCTTATTGGTCATGTGCATATCACCTTTTGAGAAGTACCTGTTCAAGCTTTTTGCCCATTTTTTCTATTTATTTACCTTTTTATTATTAATTTGTTGGAGATCTTTTATTCTTCTTCCCCCAGTTTTCCTAAAACCTATAAGACAACAAATCCCACATTCTATCTCCAACTCAGACTTTATACCTATACCCCCAACTCATAATATTATCTATCTTTCCTTACCCTTCACCTCGAAATATATCACAGGCTTCTCAAAATCATTGTCTAAACCTGAACTCATACTTCTAAAACTTGTTGGTCCTTCCTTATTCCCTCCCTTAACTATCTGTAGTATCATCAACCCAGTAATCCATACCAGAAAACCTCTAGGTCAACCCAATCTTCTTTCTCTCCCTCATCTCCCACATGCAATGTACCTCTAAAATGTTTCCTTCTTTCTTATCTTTTCCTTCCTCTCTTCCTTCTATTGCTATGTAGTTCAAACATTACATATCATCTGGACTAATAGAAGAGTCACAAATTAGTTTCAAACTACTTTTTAAAGTAGCATGAATGTCTTTGTAATCCAATCAGGACATTCTAAATTTAAGGTTTTTAAATAACTTTCTACTACCAAAAGGACGAAGTCCAAAGCTCTCTTTTATTTGACCTTTACCTAAATCTTAAAATGATATAATTAAGGTATTAACTGATTCTATGATATTAATTGATTTTAAGGTATCTAAGACCTTTTGAAAACATAGAAAGCTAGAAGGAACAATTATCAAACATGACTTTGCAACATTCAGGATATTTCCAGTTAACTAAAGGGACACTGGAAGATTTTTGAAATAAATTTCAAAATAAAGAGAAAAATCTAATTAGAACATGGAAATATATAATGACACAATAAAAGCAGAATAAAAGATCATTTATATTGTAGATGTTCCCACCCCCTAAATTAGAACAATAATAGGTACTTTACTGACACTACATAAAATTATTGGGCACATGAAAGAATTAGAGGCTATTGTAAAACTAAAGATTATGACGGAATTTCTAAATGTCAAGAACTACTGCCATATACTTGAATGATAAATTATCTAGGGTTTTTTTTTTGTATTTTTTTGTGACCAGTAAGGGGATCACAACCCTTGGTGTGGTGTCACCCGCACCGCGCTCAGCCAGTGAGCGCACCGGCCAGTCCTATATAGGATCCGAACCCGTGGCGGGAGCGTCGCTGCGCTCCCAGCGCCGCACTCTCCCGAGTGCACCACGGGGCTGGCCCAATTATTTAGTTTTAAACAAATGACACATTTGAAATAATTCTCCTGAAAATATTATTTTCATTCGTTGAATATTATTCATCATATTTACTTTACCGCTATTCTCTCTATAGCCTCACTTCTCAGAACTGCAGCCTGGTTCAAAGACCTATTTGCCTGCTTTCCCAGAGGGAAGTAAAAATTCTGTCTATGAAAAGGAGGCATTTCTGAAATTATGGTCATCAGTTATCTACCATCATTAGAAAAAGCATTATTCTGGTCAAATAAACTGTCTCTTTATCTAAGAGCAAACTGTCCCAGGCAAGGACAAGTCCTTTTATTGAAAGCTTTCTTGCTCTCAAGCACATAGAACTGAATTGTTAAATACTTCAATTAATTTTAAGATATTTCAATTTATTTTTTGATACTGTAAATTTATAGCTGTGTATCTCTAACTTATACCCCTAGAAGTACAAATCTATGTAGACACTCTCAATGAAAATGAAAAGATTTAAATAAGGGACCTCTCAGGACTTGAGCATAAGTCCTGAAGAATAAACATGAATGAGAAATAAACTGATAAAGGTTATTTCCAATTAAAAAACATGAAGTGGATTTAGGAGGCTTCCAAAGTTATCACCCAAATGTAAAATTAAGTTGCCTCAAGATCTCTTAGCTAATGGAATAAACCTAAACTAAAAATTTCAGAAGTTATTGAGAAATGACAAGCAATGGAGTTTGAAACAAATTAGCTAATGATAGAGTTTGGATGTGTTGTTCCCCCAAAACTCATGTGGAAATCTATTCACCAATGTGGCAGTGCTGGAAGCTGTTTGAGTCATGGGGGCAGATCCCTCATGAATGGATTAATGCTCTCTCTGGGTGGGGGGTCCTGAGTGAGATCTTGCTCTATTAGTTCCCACAAAAGCTGGTTGTTTAATAGACCCTGGCACCTCCTCTCTCTCTCTTGCTTCCTCTCGCCATGTGATCTGCTTGTACCTGCCAGCTGCCTACTGCTTTCCACCATGAATAGAAGCAGCCTGAGACCTGTGCCAGATGCAGCTGTCCCAGAATCATAAGCCAAATAAACCTCTGTCCTTTATAAATTACCCAGTCTCAGGTATTTCTGTTATATCAACACAAATGGACTAAAAAGCTAACCAAATCTATATTTTCATAACAGGATGTATTTATTCTAAAGTTTATGTTATAAGGTCCATTCATGTTAATAACCCTCCCAGGCCCAAACACTATTCTTTCTTTTTCACCTTCCTATTCACTATATCTAGACTTAAGTTCAGTGGTCAAAGTCTGTGGAAAAACTAGGGAAATATCCTAAAATATATTAATCAAAATGAGTTCTGAAGCCTTCTTTGCTTTTTTAAAGACAAATTTTGAAAAACATACATAATAACTGGAGTAGCAATTAAGATAATATTTTAAAACAGGATTGTATTCTTTATTGTATTAAAGTAGTTAAAAGCTAGAATTTACCTGCATTCTAAGAAAAAAAAAAAAAAAAAAACCTGAGAGGAAAGATAGCAATGCCCAGGGTCCTTGGCAGGAGTTCAGGGCAGCCCTCTCTGCCTGAAAATAGGTAAGAGAGCAATGCTCAGGGTCCTAGGCAGGAGCCAAGGGCAGCACACCAAAAACACCACTTCTGCACAGATGATCCACCACAGCCACTGCCACAGCCTCAGCTGCCACAAAAGTGGTTTGATACCACAGCATTAACCACAGCCATGGTGCACATGGCCAGTCACTTGACTGCACTGACATAAGGAGAGTCACCAGTGAAGACTGAAAAAAGAAGAGGATGTCTCTCTCCTTAAAGTAATAGAAGAAGCCAAGTTCCCTACCATATGACCAGATATCAACATAGAGATATTAGAAATATGAAAACCCCCCAAAATATGACACCACCAAAAGAATGCAGTAATTTTCAGATACTAGGCCCTAAAAAACAGGAAACCCTTGAAATGATTGAAAAGGAATTCCAAGCAACAATCTTAAGGAAACTCATTGAGATATGAGAAGACTCAGACAACATAATGAGACAAGAAAAAAAATCCAGAATATGAAAGAGGGTATTTATAAAGAGATTAATACCTTACAAAAGAATGTAGCAGAACTCATGGAACTGAAAGATTCACTCAACGCAATAAAAAACACAACCAATAGCTTAACCAGCAGGCTAGAACAATCAGGAGAGAGAATTTCTGATCTTGAAGATAGTCTTTTTGAAATAATTCATGCAGATAAAAAAAGGAAAAAAGAATTTTAAAAAATGAAGAAAATCTAAGAGAGCTAACAGACAACCTTGAGTGCACAAAGATTCAAATCATGGGTGTTCCAGAAAGGGAGGAGAAAGGAAAAGGCATGGAAAGCCTATTCCACAAAATTATAATGGAAAAATTCCCAGGCATAGGGAGAGACACGATCCTTCAGATCCAGGAGACTCAAAGATCCCCAAACAGATTCAACCCAAAAAGATCCTCTCTGAAACACATTATGGTCAAACTGGCAAAGCTCAAAGACAAAGAGAGAAACTTAAAAGAAGCAAAAGAAAAGTGTAAAGTCACCTATAAGGGAGCCTCTGTCAGACTAACAGTAGACTTCTCAACAGAAACTCTACGTGTCAGAAGAAAATGGGATGATATATTCCCCCCAATAAAACACTAAAAGAAAAAAACTGCCAGCCAAGAATACTATACCCAGCAAGGCTATCCTTCAGAAAGGAGGGAAAAATAGTGTATTTTCCAGACAAAAACTGCGAGAGTTCACCACCACACGACCAGCCTACAAGCAATCCTAAAGGGAGTCCTGCATCTGGAATCCAAAAAATGATAATCACTACCATGAATACACAAGAAAAAAAAAATCCACTGGTAAAACAAAAATGCAAACAAGAAAGAAAGACTAAATCTTACCACCACAAAGAACCATAATGACAATGTAGTAATGCCCCTGCTTTATTCCTGACTGTGGTAATTTTGGTCTTCTTTTTTTATTGCTCAGTCTACGTAAAGGTTTGCAAGTTTTGTTGATCATTTTAAAGAAAATAAAAATACTTGATTAGATTCTTGGCATATGGGCCATTGTCAGTTTATATGGCCCAAAAATTTATAGAATGGGATCCAAGTGTAGAGACATACATGCATATGGTAAGAACATTTGGTAAGAAGTATTTTGTAGCAATTTAGTGTATATTACTGAATTCCTTCTAGTGACCTCTCCTTTGCTAGCTACTTCAGAGAGAAAGCAAGCATTTTTACATTTAAAAAGTTTTCAGTTTCATCAGTGAAACAGAATACACACACACAAAGCAAAAAATTTAAATATCGAATTGAAAATAAAGTCTCTCTTTTTATCAACTCTACTAGAGATTTGCATTCAATCTAAAATATAGTTTTAACTTTATAAAAAGGTATATTCTTTTTCACCAGTAAACTTTTACCATGTAGTTCTAGGATTTTCTATAGGTACAAATGGATCAGATGACATTATTAAATCAGTGCACAGGATTACGGTACTCTATTTCTCTTCATTCTAATTTTTAAAATTCTAAGCAGAAATATGACAAAAATCAAGCAACATACAAGCTCTCTTGGGAATAAAGGAAAACAAACTCAGATCAGCTTTTTTTTTTTTTTTTAAGTTCCTTTTGGCCAAATTATTGGCAGACGAAGATACCCTTAAAATTCTCATTTTACATGTTTTCAGAGTATCATTTCTTCAAAAGTTTATGTTAGAGTTAATCTGTTACAGCAGGAAAATTATATAGTCCCACTTCCTTTCCTAAAACAAATTTGAAAGTACAAGTGAACACAGAGAATTTGAGATTCAGGTTCTGTTTAAGCATGCAGTTAAGTAATGGGTATTTTGGATTTCTTCCAGAATCACACAGCAATAAAAAGGTTCCAAGGCATTTACAATTTTATAAACTTTCTTCAGGGCAAAAGCTATGTTTAAGGCTTGTCATGCAAGGTGCCTTGCTGTCCCACCACAAAGCAGATTCAGTCCAGCTGAGCCAAACTCACTGCCAAGCCAATGAAAGACGGAAGGGAGCAGACCTCCTATGGCTGAAATCAAAGATCTCACTCTCCATTTTTTTTTTTCAAGTTCTGCAAAGATGACTAAATACAATTTCCCTCAGTGCACAGGGAATAAGCTTGATGTTCTCTTAAAACTCCTTACCCATTACTAAATCCAGAAAACTAACACAAACTCATACTTAATAAGAAAACAATTAGCCTAAGACACCTGTAGTAAACAAAGAAAAATCAGAAGTATTTGATTTTAGATTGTCAGTACACAGCCTGTTTCTCAAGTTCTGATTTGGTTTTGGGCTGTCATCATATAAACTACCTTTTGAGTTTCATTACATGCCACCCACACCCTACTCCACGCTGCCAAAAAAAAAAAAAAAAAAAAAAAAAAAAAAAAACTTTGTTCCTAAAATCCTTCAGGTTTTCTCATCATTCCAAGCCTTTGCATATAGGATCTCTCTACCTGTTACACTTTTCTCTTCCTCAGAGTAATTCTAAATCATCTCTGACACCCTAGTCTACATAAGGTCTCCTTTCTGTCCTGCTCTCACATCTACATGCCTTATCTAATCTTCACTCACACTTGGCTGTAATTACTCCTTCCACCAAATCCCACTAGATTTAGCTGCAAGAAGGCATTTGCAGTGCTTAGATCAAGGCCTAGCAAACAGTAGTTACCAATAATAATTTTCTTAAGGACTAAATTCCATACAGGGGCTCAAGAATTTGGCCACAAACCAACTCACAACTCACCCTGTTTCGGCTCCATTCCTCTTCTAAGCTGGTTTCCCTTACTGGAATGACGATCACTGGCTATGCCTTAACTTTTTAACCACTCACTTTTCAGGTAAGGACCCAATAAGATGTCAAGAAAAGATCAGCTGTTTTATTACTAACCTCCTCCCTCTCCCAGTAGATTTCACAATTATACTTCTACCCTCAAGCATATCTCTTCCAAGAGAGTGCTAGGGGTCCTCTGTCATTCCTGCTCGTGTCCAGTTTATCTCTATACCTCCAACACCTAGAGCAGGATCTCTTATACATCAGGCTCTCAGATGTGGAAGTGAGACAAGAAAGCAGAGTGCTGATGTAAACGTTCTCTCAAATCCTTACCAGCCTTTTTTTTTTTTTTTTTAAGATAACCGGGTAAGGGGATTTTAATTCTTGGCTTGGTGTTGTCAGCACCACACTCTCCCAAGTGAGCCACAGGCCGGCCCCTTACTAGCCTTTTCAACTTGTAATTTATCTGTGGTTTCAGTCCCCTAGTATGTATGTGTAACGTTAGTTATTGCACCTCAAAAAAAAAAAAAAATCTAGAATGAAAGAACCCATACTAAAATTGCGTTACTTATTTTCTTGTTGGTGAAAAGGTGGCTGCTAGAAAGAAATGATACAAGAAACGCTTTAGGTAAGCAAGATAATTTAATACATAGGTAGAGAAAAAGTTATAGAAGTCCCAAGGAACATTACCTAATTTAGTACAGGGCCTTGAAAGTATTCAGAAATTAAAATAGTGCGTGGAAAGCAAGCCTCCCTTATCCTTCTGAAAACGTTGAGAACGTTCCCTGCGAAGTTTTGCTCTCATCCCACCGCCCTCCTTCACGTGGGAACGTCGGGCCGCGGCGCTCCGCACTGCGGGCCCACGCCCAGCAGGGGGCAGGTCTGCGCGGCGGCCTCGCAGGCGACTGCCCGCGGAGGCGGGGAGGCTCACCGATCGGAATGCTCTTGGAGATGGCGCTAGAGTCCATACCACAGCGACATTCTAGGAATTTTTACCTGATGACACCTCAAGTGTAGCGTTAGGGCCAGACCCTACGGCCACACAGCCCTGGAGGCGTGGGCGGGGACTTCCTTTTCCGCTGTCCCGCCACCCTCTTCCGGCCGCTGCACCTCCTTCCGCTTTCCGCGTTTTCTTTCCTTTCCCGAGACCCTCTCCCTCTTCCCGCGTCCACCCTCCGCTCCTCCATGTCCTCCTTCTCCTCCACGCCCCCTTCACGGCCCCAGGCTCCCCTGTCCTGTCCCCGGCGGCCCTCCTCAGTGCCGCAGACGTTCCGCCCTCGCCGCCAGACGCCCTTTCCCGTGAGCACTTGCGCGCCTGCCTCCTGCCGAGTGTCGGGGGCGAGGCCCGGGCAGCCGCTCCCGTTGTCCTTGCTGCCAGTTTTCTGTTCGGCGGCTCACGAATAGGGCTGGTGAAAGGACGCTGCCGATTGTCGCTTTTTTCGTGCTCCGCTGTAAACGTGGGAAGAAGTGGAGGGAAGAAGCCAGTTTAGGAGAATAGTGAAAGTGGGGAGAAAGAAAGGTGGACGGCGTCCCTTTTTTAGATGTCTTAGCTCTTGAGAGGGGATGGGCATTTTGACCGTTTTTGTTTTTTAATCCCAAAAGTATATGTTCTGAGTGTGATAAGGTCTTTATAAAGCTCAGCAAGCTTAAAATCCTGTGCCAGTACGTATTTTTTGGCGCAGACAGAAGTGCTTTGGAAGGTAGCTGAAAGGGGAGGTCATTTTGAACCAGGATTGGGATCCTTTTGTTAAAAGAGGAGGGACTGCAGGTGACTCTTAGGTAGCCGATGTCAAAGATAAGCACAGCTGGACATCGGTTAAAGCGGTGAAAACAGACTTCATTCAGTAACTACTGACAGTAGGGGAAAGAGCTGAGCTCCATTCTGATTTGTGCAATTTATCCAGAGGCGATTTGGGCATTTTAAAGAGAGAATGAGGGAGTAGGGAATGCAGACGCTCAGTAGAGTCAGAGTAGTGAGAAAGTGCAAAGGGTTGGTCAGTGTAAATGTGATTGGGCCAGCTGTGTGTGTTAGCTGGCAGTTAACTAAGATAGGATTCTATCTTCTATCTTATTTTAGTAAATGCTTTAGCAAAGGGAGGTCAGGGGCTATCAGTTGTGTTGGCTGGAACAAGTAGTTCAGCTTTCTCACGTAGACACATTAAAGGTGGCTGGAGTCATCCTAGGAATGTGGCCTTATTCTGCTAGAGGCCATGCTAGAGTTTGGTCAGATCTCTTAGAGCAGAGGTTTGGATGGAGTTGTCATAAATAAGGTTTGAATAAGCAAAGGGAATATTCTAGTGTGAGGAACAGAACTTCCCAAGGCACCGAAGCACAGATGATAATCAAGTTTTAGGGTATGGAGATGTGTATGATAGTGAAGAAGTAGCAACTCAGTTTGCACTGGTAGGAACAAGTCATTACTAGAAGTATTTAATTCCAATTTATTACAAAATGGACAACTTAAGCTATTACACTTTGTTGAACAGGAAGGTCACTTGATTACATGGTAATTTGGGAGAATTAATCTTATCAGTTTGCAGAGTGAGGACGAGTGACTGGATGTATTATTTGTACCATAAGTTTGTATCTGGTACTGCAGCCTTTCCAGGTTGACAGCAGTGACTAAGAGGCTTGACCTGTGGACATTTTTGTGTAGCTTCCTGATAGTGTCTTTCTTAAATAAATAGAAAACAAAGTGCATCATTTGGGCGTGATACCATCTCATGCCTTGTCTTTTTCCCAAATATTTGATTACTTGCCAGTTCTCAAAGAATTTAACAGGTTGAGGAGATAAAATGTGTGAAAATTATATAAAAACTATCAAAAGAGGTCCAAAGCTCAGTTGGAATTATGAGGAGGAAAAGAGCTTGGCAACCAGTGGCACAGAAGAGACATGTATTTTCAGTACAGTGACTGTAATCTGCTAACGGATAATACAGTATTTCTTTTTTTTTACTTAAGGAGTGCCTATTCACCCACAGCTGTGGGAGTATAATATGGAGGTGGGTGGGGATCTGTAATGAGGTGTGTTCAGAAGTGTTAGGCAGTGGCCTAAAATAACAAATTCTATTAATATTTGTTGGTACTTCATATTATGCAATCCCCCCTCATACCCACCATATGGGTACATTAGGAATTAGTCCTGATAAATTGGAATAGACTTTGAGACTAAACCACAAAAAGAAAGTGTCCTGAGAAGACAGGAAGGAGGGGGCTGGGAGGTCTGAGACTAAGGTATCTGGTACTTACTCCCCATATCCTGTAGAAAGAGGGAAAATTTGCTATCCCAAGACCTCATCTTTCCCATTTTTTTTTTCTTTTCCTCCATATCTATATGTATAGCATTTCAATGTAACTGCACATACAAGTTACTATAAAAATACCTTTCACTGCAATAACCATTGATTAAACCACAAACTAAAGGTTCATGCACTGTAGTATTAGCATGCCAATACCTAATTACCCTTTAACTTCTGGCTCAATTTACAAATGTTGGATGGTGATAGAGTTTGGATGTTATTGTCCCCACAAAACTCGTGTGGAAATCTGATGCCCAGTGTGGCAGTGTTGGGAGTTGTTTTGAGTCATGGGGGCAGATCCCTCATGAATGGATTAATGCTCTCCCTGAGGGGTGGGGGTAGTGAGTGAGTTCTCTGTTAGTTCCCATGAGAGTTGGTTGTTTAAAAGACCCCAGCAACTCTCTTCTCTCTCTCTTGCTTCCTCTCGGCATGTGATCTGCTTGTACCCGCCGGCTGCTTGCCACTTTCCACCATGAGTAGAAGCAGTCTGAGGCCCACGCCAGATGCAGCTGTCCCAGAATTGTAAGCCAAATAAACCTCTGTTCTTCATAAATTATCCAGTCTCAGGTATTCTGCTATAGCAACACAAAACAGGCTACTAAAACATGGCCATTTCTTTAATTATTTGAGTTTTCATAAAATATAGATCCAGTTGTAATTATTCTCCCCCTCTCTCACTTGACCCACTTTTAAACTGCTTTGTTCTCTCCTACCCATACCATCTTCTGTAATCAGGAATTTTTAAGGTCCGCTCTTGAGAGATTGGCTCTATGACAGAACCCAGGACACTCAGCTCCTTGCTGAGGCTTCTCAGAATCTTGTTATCCCAGGACATTGAGCTCCTGGATTAGGTTCAAAATCTTATTACCCAACCCAAGTCTGGCTGCTTGCCCCAAACAAAAACAAATGACCCAAAAGTCACATGTTGGTAAAAATGGAAGTTGACTTTTATTCAGGAATACCAGTGACCTGAGTTGAGATGTTAAGCCAACCCATCTCTTTGGTAAACCTGAAGGAGAATGAGCAGGCTAAAACCATATCAAAGACTCAGATTTACTGAGGGGTTTTTGGAGAGGGTATTGAGGGAATGGAATGTGGGAAGTGAAAAACAGAAGGGAGGGGACATTTAAGGGGCCAGATGCAAATTCTCATTTTCTGGTATTCCCCCAGCTATTAAAAAAAAAGGTATCGATCTCTACTGGCATTAAAACAAAAACAAAAAACTTTTTGTTTGTTTATTTAGAATTATAATGTTTCTAGAGCTAGCTTGTGGCTCACTTGGGAGAGTGTGGTGCTGATAACACCAAGGCCACAGTTTGGATCCCTATATAGGGATGGCCGGTTAGCTCACTTGGGAGAGCATGGTGCTGACAACACCAAGTCAAGGGTCAAGATCCCCTTACCAGTCATCTTTAAAAAAAAGAAATTCATTTTTTGACACATAATAATTGTACGTATTTATGGATGCAGAGTAATATTTCAATACATGTATATACTGTGTGATCAAGTCAGACTAATTATCATATCCATCACTGCAAACATTTATTAATTCTTTGTGATGAGAACATTTGAACTCTTCTAGGCATTTGAAAATATGCAATAAATTATTGTTAATTACAGACACCTAGCCCTACTACATAATACTAGAACATATCCTTCCTGTCTAGCTGTAATTCTATATTAGTTAACCGGCCTCTCACTATTCCCCCTCTCCCCTACTCTTCTAGCCTCTGGTAACTTCAGTTCTATGCTCTACTTTTATGAGCTCACATTTTTTTAGCTCCCACATATGAGTGAGAGCATGTGGTATTTATCTTTCTATGCCTAACACTTCACTCTACAAAGTTCAGGCTCATCCATGTTGCCACAAATGATGAGATCTCATTCTTTCTTTTTTTTTTTTTTTTTTTTTCTTTTTCCGTGTCCGGCAACGGTTCGCAACC